TTAAGTAAAATTTACAGTTCATGTAAATTTCTATTATTCCCGCACTAACTGCAATTTTTTTTTATCTATGATGTTCTTCAAGAAAGTTAAGATCCATTTNAATATCAAATCATATCGATACCGATAAACAACTGTCATCGTTTGCTGTTGATGTTTTAAAATATCTAGAGGTTTGGTTCAGAAGCACAATGTGACTACATCAATGTCTACATGGAACCATTAAATAAACAATTATCAACTACGTATACATTTGCGTATATGCATACAAGAGGAAGAACTTCATTTTTAACATGTATGATTAAATTAAAGCATAGAAGAAAAAATCAGCAACATCATGTATTTTTTATATTTATAAACAGGGATATGTGCTTGCTCAAAATAAACCTCATTTACTTTCACTTTTCTTTGAGTCTCCTTTGCATAACCACATTATTATCTATGTGGCCGGTGAGTTGCATGTATCTAGGTTTATAGCAAGTAATGGCATATTTCAAGTTAGTAGGTCAAAGTTAATGAAACGATATATTTTATGTATCTCCGAACCAGCTAACTGGTCAACGACAAACACATTTTGTTATTGGTTTGTTTTATCATTGAACACTTTAGATTTTATAACGTCTTTAACTTCCAATTTCAAACGGGCAGAGGAATTATTGTTTTACTAATGGAAAAGCAGTGCCTCTGTTGGTACAATTTACAACACTACAAACGTTAGTAATGAAACAACATGACAGGCCAGGTACCACACTAAATATCCTTGTACCTGTAATCATATTACATCACGTTAGGTGTATGGCTTCGTATTGTGAAAAAAATCAGTTCATATTAATGACATTCAAAAAGAAATTTAATAAGTAATATTTTTGAAAAGGTCAAGTCAAATGTGATAACAGTAATTATTTTAAGTGATTGTTTTTTCAACTTTAAGTAAAATTTACAATTCATGTAAATTTCTATTATTCCCGCACTAACTGCAATTTTTTTTTATCTATGATGTTCTTCAAGAAAGTTTAGATCCATTTTTATTCTGGAACTAATGCTGTGAAATGCCGAAAAGACACATTTACATACGACAATGATTAGATGTGTTTATCATGAAGTTTATTGTAGTTAATCCGGCAATGACAGTGGAAACAACAACATAATACCAAATTCTAACTTCACATATCAAACATTGGAATCCATGTGACAATGGGTCTTATTCATAGAAAGGATGTTCAAAGTTACTGATTTAATAGGGAACGTTGAATTTTGAATATGAACTAAAACATGTCGTGAACTACCTTTTTTAATTGAAAATGTAATAGTACTTTCCTTGTTAGGGTCAGCTCTGTTTTCTAACAATAACTTCACTATAGTAGATTTCCCACGTCGTACTGCTTCTGACAAGACATCAAACTGCAACAATATATCGGAGGAAAATCATATTATTCAGATTAAAAAATGTAACTGATGTGACATTGGGTCAAACTCATATTCATAGAAAGATTGTCGCATGTGACTTATAATATGGTGAACATTTTTTAATTGAAAATGTAATAGTACTTACCTTGTTAGGGTCAGCTCTGTTCTCTAACAATAACTTCACTATAGTAGATTCCCCACGTCGTACTGCTTCTGACAAGACATCAAACTGCAACAATATATCGGAGGAAAATCATATTATTCAGATTAAAAAATGTAACTGATGTGACATTGGGTCAAACACATATTCATAGAAAGATTGTCGCATGTGACTTATAATATGGTGAACATTTTTTAATTGAAAATGTAATAGTACTTACCTTGTTAGGGTCAGCTCTGTTCTCTAACAATAACTTCACTATAGTAGATTCCCCACGTCGTACTGCTTCTGACAAGACATCAAACTGCAACAATATATCGGAGGAAAATCATATTATTCAGATTAAAAAATGTAACTGATGTGACATTGGGTCAAACACATATTCATAGAAAGATTGTCGCATGTGACTTATAATATGGTGAACATTTTTTAATTGAAAATGTAATAGTACTTACCTTGTTAGGGTCAGCTCTGTTCTCTAACAATAACTTCACTATAGTAGATTCCCCACGTCGTACTGCTTCTGACAAGACATCAAACTGCAACAATATATCGGAGGAAAATCATATTATTCAGATTAAAAAATGTAACTGATGTGACATTGGGTCACATATTTAAAATCACATTAATTTTGTCAGAAATGAGATGTTTAAAATTAACGCAAAATTAGCCCCCCTTCACCTGTCATCTTTCAAATTAGACCCGGAAACCTGTCGATTACAAGTTTTCCGGGTCTCTGTTGTTAAATGACAGGTGAAGAGGGACTTACTTTCCTTAAAAATCCTGTTTTCAATCATACATACGTCGAACTGCAACAAAACATCGTAGGGAAATCATATTTATTTTGCTATGTGATGATTTAAAACAGGATTTTTAATGGAAAGTAAGTCCTTCGTCACCTGTCATTTAACAACAGAGACCCGGAAACCTGTCTATTAAAAGGCTCTCTGTGACACTTGTACATGTTATAGTGTTTATATACATATGAATTAAAAACCAACACCGAAATAAAATAAAACAGGAGAGAAGTAAACATTTATGCAATTGTCGACGTGATCAATAGATTATTTGTTTTTTAAAGAACACATACCGTCGATAAATGTTAGAAGCAAATTGATAACTAAGCAAGGTTTTTGTAACCAGTCCTAATAAACTCTCTTTTACAATCAGATTCCCTTAAAAACAAAATCAAGTCGAGCGGAAGATTTACATAATTTGAATCCATACAAATACTTTGCTGGAAAAAATCAACAACAAATTCTACCAAGACACATAATGTTCCAAATTGCATCACAATCATGCACTCATATGATCATCTGTCTTTGTAGGAGTTGAAAACTTTCATGGTAATGGAGGCGTTCATTAAGTTTCTTATGATGTTGGTAGTGTCAAGACTTAGCAAATCAAAACTCTGATAACATATGTATAATTTATTGATTCCATTTACTCCACTGTTGGTGAATACATTGCTGCAATACGACGTAAACCCTAATTGCTTTGTATAAACGTATATCACAACGTGATGTCTACACGAATATAGGCAACATAATAATTTCCCTTTTCTTATTCATTAATGAATGCCTTACAGTGAGATATGGTATACATTACAGTTACCGTGTCGCAATCTGTCAATTGCAGTCATCAAATTCCACGAATACTATAAATATACTGGTTTGAGACGATTCTAAATTTTGATTACCTATATTTACGTCAAGTATAATCGTGTGAAACTTTTTTTCCGGCAGCTACCAATCTCATCAGATTGAAGTCATATTTACATTGTTATAATGCATTCGCGAATTCACGAAACGTTACGAAGCAGAATCCAACGAATAGTGACTATATCCTCGACTGGGTCAGAGGTAATGTTTACCAATAAACCCGTGCAGCTACTTTTAGCCGCCGACTCAGTTCTAGCTTGTCAAGTGGAAGCCTTATAGTGGTAGACAAGACCATTTTGTCCACTTTAAGCGCACCTCATTGGTATAAGGCTTCATCGATGTTTACTTTCCCTTTATTGTGCATTTTTCTGTCGATTCTGTCTGCCTGCTTGGGCGACCACTCTGTACCATGGGCATCGCCATTACATCCTACGTGTCTGCACATGCTTAAAGTTATGTAAATTAGGCACGTTCGGAAATAAAAAGTAATTCGTTTTTGTTTTTATTTTAGGAATTTTATTTTTGTTATCTTTGACAAGTCTCACTTGACAAGATAGTGCAGTTCAGCTTTAACCGTGGTTTGTCCGAGTTAAGAGCAATATTCTGGCGAAAATGGACTACAACTCTAAAACTACGTAGTGGAAAGTCAACTACAGTGTCAAAACAGTGAAACCGATTTAGTTTACGATTTTGAAGTGGCTCTGCAGGCACCCACGTACTCAGCACCGAAAGCTTGATGTTACGTATGCGAAATGAAGGGCTTGTCAATCCCTCCGGTAGTTTGTGGTACTTCCTGTTGGCTTTCCACGCCGGGGCGATGCTGGATGATTGTCGGCGTTCTTTGTTCGAATGACCGCGATTATTTGTGGAATAAGTCAGAATGTAGAGCTCACATAATGGTTTTGGACAACCTTATCCTGCTATACCAACACGTTGATGCCCGATACTAACGGATGTTGATACAGGTTGCTGATCTTTTTGTTTCAGCTTTGTGGTAAAAACTAAGCAAATCGGTCAATTGTGTGTTGTCCCTACATTGCGTTCAAGAATCGAACAATTATAGATTCATTCGTCACTCGCATTTGTCGTTTAGTCGACTGAGAAAGTCGGCTCTAGAATTGTTTCTTGCCAGCTCTTGTGAACAGCTAATGTACACGATATTGTTTATTCCAACCGCCCAAATTGCCGTTACGATGTCGATGAGATCTTTGCATGGACCGCTTGTTGTGATAGGAAACAGCCGTTACATTGTCGGGACGAATTAGCATAGTCATCAGTTAGTCACTGTCTAAAAGACACTAAGATTGTAAAACACATTTCTCAGCCATTGGAGAACATTATGACTATCCTACAGATTTGTACCAAATTATTTTAGTCTATTTCTCGTTTAAAAGTCCACCCCCTCCTATTGTTAACACATCTGTCAATAGCTGAGCATCAATTATTGCAAACTATTTGTACCGCTCCTATTTCAACTGCACTTATCAACCATTTGAATTCCCCTTGTTCAGTATCGGACCACATCAGTGTAGATTCGCTATTAGTCTTTGAATGAACTGAACTATAAGCAACTCGAATTTTCAATTTACGCTGTCAATCGACCTTTGTTGTCACAACTTACTGCCCATTAGCACGGCCTTACGTTCTAGACTGAACGCTGAGTTTTGATAATGTTCTGCGTATGTCATCTCGCATTGTTTTCTAATGTGATTTTGGAACTTTAAGCAAGTCATTGTCATAACTCGTTTCTACAATGTATCTTTCAAAATGTTCACAATTATCTGGCACAAAACTACACTTATCTAAGTTTATTTGAAACCATGTCTTTGTGTTTGGAAAACTAATTCTACATGAGTTGCGATGCCAAATTCTTCAGCACAAATCTGACCCAAGGCGATTTCAAAATATTGTCTAGTCTTTATGTTTAGTGAGCATTTCACCGTTTTTCAGATAACATTTATAACAATCTGTAACAGACAACTAATATCCTCGTATAAGTTATTGATTTTACATATTGTCAGGACTGCCAAGCATGTTTTTGCTGCTTTCTCTGTATTCGTAGTCCATTTAAAATGTCCAAATATGACGATTTCGGAACGAGGCAGTTAAGTTAGAAATAAAAGTAGTGGCAAATGGCACAAAAATAGAGTCATGCATTTCCTATCTCATTTTGAAATAACTTTGAAAGGAATACGATTATGTCTTAGTTGAATATTCATTATCAGAAGTTAGTTGTACACCAGCCAATATCTAAATGAATAAATCTTTGATGGCATCTTAAATTTATTATAAGGGACCAGGTCATATATATTACCGGGAAGATGGAGACAAATCGTCATGAGGCTACCCGCACTTTTCCACTTACACGACAACGGGACAAACATTTATTTCATAAAAAACATTTACGGCATTGAACACTTTTCCAAATAATTTCACAAGTGCATGCATTGACAACGTTAAATAGAAAAAGAAAAATCAACAAACACTGTTAAATTACTTAGTAAAACTAGTTACCTCTGATGCTTCCTTTGACCACTATATTCATGACCATGCAGTAATTGTAAATATATATTTGCTCTCCCTTTTCACTTTTTTCATACGCATCATATGCTTCCATCATCACACACAATAAACGTTTAAAATACATGTAGAGGTGGATTGTATCAGATGTTGAACGTGTCATGCATAATATGTTTTCGTTGATTATTTACATGAGGATGTAAGCATATTTGTATATTTCCACTGCGAGTTCCTTTATAAGCATTAGTAGGAGAAATTACCTTTATGAACGCAATTCGAACAGCGTCATTTTGAAGCTCCTCTTCTAGTCTCGATTAATCTGAGACAACTGTTTTGTAGTAAAATCATAGCAACACCGTAGATTACTGTTTACAGACCAAAATTGGAGGGATGGCCACGGTATATAGAACCGGGACATTCGGAGTATACCGTGGCCGCTACCGTGAAAGTGTGACTGGAGCTGAACAAATCAGGATATTCTAAAAATCTTAATTGAGCTGATGACACAGAAACTTCAATATTAAAATCATAAGGAAATATATATATTCAGGTCAATAATAACTAAATATCTACCATGTAAATATAAGGATTGAACGGTATTTTTTCAATGTTTATGCCGGTATGATATTGAAAACAAACGCTGTTTATTACAGTACAATGAGCTATATTGAACCAGTCACAACAAATATTGGCTCGTCCCTTATCTGAGGAATTTGTATGAATAAAAGTATTTCCATAGTCTGAGTTCAGTCCTATTGTCCGAAACAAGCGACATAGGCTCATTGTCTATTTTGATTGACGACATTGCATTATCAATTATGTAAACAAAATTACACTCCCCCACCACCATCAGGAATTGAGTTCTCCTTTGTGATATATTTGCAAAACGATAATGTAATCACCTATTGTGACGTCAGGAATAATATTAAGGTAGTATGCAAGACTGCATTGTGTTTGACAAACATATGCAATTAGAATAACGTTAAATACAATCGCGATCGTGACACCCATATTTAACTAGTCTGATCTGCGTTTTTATCTCGTTCTATCAATCGATTACACAATAACAAGTTATTTGTTTTAGGATTGACCTTTGTCTCTTCTTTTCTATAACCTAATTATTCGGATACAATGTTACACTTAATGACATTATGCATAAAGGGGCAAGTATATATGTAATCTGAGACAGGTTTGTCTTGGAAAATTGCGATAACAACCAGGAATCGTCAAAATCCCTCATAGCAGTTTAGCGGTCATCTTTCTTTTCCATTCAATCGAAGCCGATTTGAACTATTCTATATCTGATGAGGATGGACTAAAACCTTAAAATAAAAAAATATCTTTGCATCAACTGTTGAATGTTGGATGTATTAAAAAATACCTTTTCTATATATTTATATATTGATTTTTTAAATATAACTTATGCATTATTATTTCAGCCTATTTAAAAAAAAAAAATAGTTTGCAAAACTACCAACAGTAACTCGAGAAGGGAAACACAGGACAGATAACAAACATAAGTTTATCAATGACGATAATGTGATAGTAGAACAACGACATTATCCTGACTGATACGTGTCTTTGTCCGAACCCGGTATTAGATATATTAGATAAAATAGGGAAAAGTGGCAAGTATTTCTATAAGTTAACGTTTTTACAATTTAAAGTTTAAGTTCGTTACATAGGTTTGTCTATTTATATACTTCGCTTGGGTCGGCATATTTATACATATAATTGAAAAGAAACCTAGTGAGATAATACTAAATATAAATACCTGAATATAAATACAATAGTATGAAGATAATATTTAATCTATCGATACCGATAGAAATGGGGGGCTTTATGTTGTTGTTGTGTTTTTAAATATAGTAGGGTTAGGGTTATTAAATCATTAAAACTTGTTATTTAATCGTTGATTGTTTTGTCATTGTTCACCTTAGATTCTATATCTACTTTAACTTCGAATTCCTAACAGACACCGGAACTATTTTGTTACTGGTAGTAAAGCCTTGTCACTGCTGGTAACATTTATAAACACTAGAAACTAAGGAAATGAAGCAGCATGAGCCCGGTACGATACTTAATATCCTTGTACATTTTTACCGATTTTATTACGTCAGGTGTATGTTTTTCAATTGAAAATCCGTCCATATCAATAACTGTCAGAAACACATGATATTAATTACACTATTGAACACAGGTAGGTCAATTTTAGAAACAATATTTATTTTAGATGATAACGAGTTAAATAATTGTAAACTTGACAGTCTAAATCAGTTTCTATTATTCTTGCATAACTTGTTTTTCACGGATGTTTGTCGAGAAATTTCAGTTCGAATTTTATTTTAGAAACATACCTATGACGCTTTTGATCATTATCATAAAAGGATACTATTGCTGTGACAAAACGCAAAGACACATGTACCATGTAACCGTTGTTACAATGGGTCATTCACAGTTATGTTCATGGAAAGTTGTCCAATCTTACTGTTGTTTTTTTTTTATTTTTATTTTAAAATAGAACTAGAAACGAGAATTTTTGTTAATTATAGTAAGCTACTTTAAATTTGAAATGATAGTTATCACCCCGTAAGGATCAGCTCCGTTATCGAACAGTAACCTCACTTGGTCAGATGTGCCAAAGCGTACTGCATCAAACAATACATGGAGTTGCAACAAAATATCATAGGAAAATCATATTTGTTTTCTTTGAAATGTGATTTTTGAAAATAACATTTTCAATGCAAAAAAGTCCCTGTTCACATGCCATCTAACAACAGAGACCCGACTAACTGGACACCTATACATGTTATAGTGCAGCTATAGCTGCGAATTAAAAAAACACTTTTTTTTTTGGTTTTCAGATCTTCTCCATCACTCCCGACTATCGTTTCTTAGGAAGTGCGACATTTTAGTTTGTCCTTGCTTAGTAACGAGTATGGGTCTCGCTGGGTATAAACAGCGCTTTAACCGTCAAAGCGGTTATTTTTTTGTTTTTTAACCGACACTTTGTATCAGATCAGGTGAATGCAATTGAAAATGAACACATCAAAGATAGCATTTAATTAAGAAAAGTCGTAATAGTAGTACAATACGACCAATTAAAACATCTAATGCACAATCATTTCCCCTCCCCAAACAAAACGGCTCTGAAAGAAGCAAACTTACGACTAACGCTGATGCCTACCGGTTAGATATCAAATTAGTTATAACCTCTTGTGCGTAAACAATATTTATTCCAATCATTTCCATGAGAACGGTTCTATAATCAAATTTCACATTGTTGACTACACATATGGGAGTGTCGCATTTCGCACGTGTTTTGCTAGTAAAGCGTCTACACGACGAAGACTTCGAGTTCATAATTCAGTTTTTGTGTGTTGGTGCAGTTCTATGCAAGTGAAAGACCGATGATATATATGAGATTTGAAGAAGTATGTTCAGTCATATACATTTTATTTTGGAGACACAATTTTCTAGAATGTGCCATAAGTAACAACCAACTTGACAGTGTTCTCAAAGTCTTCATGTGAGTGTGTTTTTAACTCGCACTGTCAGCTTTAATGAAATATTAGTATTTTTATAGGTTAACGTTTTTACAATTTAAAGTGTAAGTTCGTTACACACGTTTATCTATTTATAAAATTTGCTAGGGTTGGTACATTTAAACAAATGATTGAAAAGAAACCTAGTGATATTATTTTAATATAGATAACTGAAACAATTCCAAGTACAATAATAATATGATAACATTTAGTTTTATCGATACCGACAGAAAAAGATAGCGTTTTGTTGATGTTTAAATGTAGTAAAGTAAACTGTGTGTAGAATAAGGAACTGCATTGAATCCCGATAGCTGGTAGACTCAACTTAAAACGACAGATATCTCTGCGAATCAGATAAATGTTCAACAACAAACCTATTATTAGAGTATTGATTGTTTTGTCATTGTACGCTTCAGATTATATATCTTCTTAAAATTCGCATTCCAAACCGTCGACGGAACTATTTTTTAACCCTAACCCTAACCCCTATCAAAAACCAAAAAAGAATCTGATTGGTATCAGCATTTGATGTCATAAAATTTCAATTTCAACTGTCATATTCATGAAAGCTCAAAAGGAATATGTTCATAAACAGACTGTAACACAAACTACATATACAAATATTAATAGAAAGAGCGATACTATATACAGAACTATTTTTCATACACCAATAATAAGGTGAAGGTGAGACGACTCCTGGTGATAAAGCTTTTTTTTACCTGCAGGACATATAGTCTTTACGTTTCTATAACCTCTCAAATTCACCCTGAGTACACTGTCTATTAAATGCCACTCTTACAATATAATAATACTGCTAATGATCATTTATTAATATACTATGTAAATGAATCAAATATGTTATGGTATGCAGTGACATAACTACGTCCGCTTGGAATATGAATGTATCAGCATGTGTCGCATATCTTCACCTTGAACTTAACACTAGAGATCCGAAATATTTTTGTTAAATGGCCCTCTTTCACACCTACACATTTTGTAGTTTAGCTGCCAATCAAACAAAAAACTAATCAAATTTAAGAAACAAGAAAGGAAAATAATATTTGTATAAGTTGTTAAAATTTGTTGTGCAATTCAAAATGAAATATCGTTATATAGCCGTTATATATGTCTATTTATTTACTTCGCTAGGGTCGGCATGTCTGTCATAGTGATTTGAGTGCGACATAGTGAGATGAAATTAACTGTAACTAACGTAATCAGTACCAAGTTCAATGTAAGTATGAATATATCAAATCATATCGACACCGATAAACAATTGCCATCTTTTGCTGTTTTTTTTTTGTTTTAAAATATCTGGAGGTTTGGTTCAGAAGCACAATGTGACTACATCAATGTCTACATGAAAACATTTAATAAACAATTAACAATTACGTATACATTTGCGTATATGCATAAAACAGGAAGAACTTCATTTTCAACATGTATGATTAAATTAAAGCATCATGTATTTTTCATATTGATAACCAGGGAAATGGGCTTGCTCAAAATAAACCTCCTTTACGTTCACTTTTCTTTGAGTCCCTATTGTATAACTACTTGCGTGTCTATGTGGCCGATGAGTTGCATGTATCTACATGTAGGTTCATAGCAAGTAATTGCATATTTCAAGTNCCTATTGTATAACTACTTGCGTGTCTATGTGGCCGACGAGTTGCATGTATCTACATGTAGGTTCATAGCAAGTAATTGCATATTTCAAGTTGGTAGGTCAAAGATAATGAAACGAGATATGTATCAATGACAAACAAATCTTTTTTTATTGGATGTTTTGTCATTGTACATATTACATTTTTTAACTTCTTTAACTTCGAATTTCAAACGGGCAGAGGAACAGACCATGTTCCATACTAGATATCCTTGTACTTGTAAACATAATACATCACGTTAGGTGTATAGCTTCCGATTCCGAAAACAATCAGCTCATATTAATGACTTTCAAAAAAAAAAAAAAAAA